TGGATCACTGTAAATAAAACTTCACTTGGGTTCTCACTTCAACTCGCCTTCAGTGGATGATTCGTTACAGTAGCCTGCTTATATAATTTTATAAAAATCCACAAAATAAATTTGATATAAAATGAATATGAAAATGTAGCCATGTGCCGTAATATTGAAAATTGAGGATGTGACATATCGTGATGCATCGTGATATCAAATTTAATCAAATCGTTGACATGATAATCGTAATCATAATCGAATCGAATTGTGAAGCCAGTGATGATTCACACCCCTAGTTAAGAGTGGGTTTCTTAAATAGTGGGGTTATCCGAGCCTGTTTAAATGCTGAGAGAAAGACACCAGTGTGAAGGGATGTGTTGATGTGAGTGAGTGCATGTACAACTGAAGGAGAAATGGCTTGAAGGAGATGAGATGAAATATGATCAAGTGGACAAGTAGTAGGTTGATTGGAAAGGATGAGTTTGTAGACTTCTGCCTCAGAGAGTGGAGAGAATGATGTGAGCGAGTGCATGTTTGCTGGTAAGATGTGTTTGACAGTTTGAGGTGTGGAGAATTGTGCGCTGATGGTTGTAATTTTATTAATGAAGAATGTGGAAAAGTTGATGAAGGAGGGGGAGGAGGAGGACAAATGAGGGAAGAAAATGTTTTAAAGAGCATGCAAGGGTTAGACCAGGGGTGCCCAAACTCGGTCCTGGAGGGCCGGTGTCCTGCAGAGTTTAGCTCCAACCCTAATCAAGCTCTTACTAGGCATACTAGAAACTTCCAGGCAGGTGTGTTGAGGCAAGTTGGAGCAAAACTCTACAGGACATCGGCCCTCCAGGACCGAGTTTGGACACCCCTGGGTTAGACGAATTGTTAATTCTGTTGTGGTAGTGTGTCCTTTGAGCAGTGGAGACATTAGCAGAGAAGGAAGAGAGGAGTGACGATACACACCAAGGTGAGTAGGATAGGATTTTTTTATTTGCGCCACACCGTCTCTGCAGCCCTGCGTTTAGAATGATGCTTGCGGAGAACATCAGAGAGCCAAGGGTCAGAAGGGGTGTAATAGGCTGGCCTGGAAGAGAGGGGGCAGACTGTGTCTAAACAAGACTTCAGAGTGGAGCAGAGAGTGTCAGTAGCACTGATAGTATCAAGTAATGAGAACTGTTTAGGGGAAGGAAGCGAAGATGAAACCATAGCAGATAGCCAAGAGGGTGACAGTGAATGAAAGTTGACAAATGGAGTATGTGCTGTGTCAGGAACCTTGTTGAGGTTGACCCTCTGTGGTCGGGAAACGCGCCGGTGCATTTTGTGGCATTTTTTCCTGATGACGCCGAAAAGAACTTAAATTACTCTGTCATTTTTTATCGTACAGATAAGAGCAATACGTCATTCGAATCCGTAAAGGGTCTACATTTACACTCATAATAACAACAAAATGCTGTGCTTTTGTAAAATAAAAAACAAACAAACAAACGCTTTCTTCTGTCTCGGTCTCCGCAAACTTCTGAGAAACATATCTATAGAAACATTGAAGTGTCTACTTTTAACCCCCTGGGGTCTGAGGGGGTTTTAGGGCCCTGGAGAAGTTTTGACATGCCCTGATATTTGTGTTTTTTTTTCAGTGTCTTAAAAACATATTAATGTCTAAAGTCTGATTACACTGTATTCAGCACAAACTGTGCTACAATAATATGTAAGCAATATGAATGTACATGTTTGTGTTTTTGAGAAAACAACGTTTATGTGTGGATAGTGATAAAATAACATTTTAAGTCACTGAAATAAGGCCATAAAGCACATATAGAACATTTGTTCACAAGACTTTTGAGAACTGGATGTGGTAGTCTAGAGTTTTTGCTATAAAATGACGTGGAAAACATCCCACCCCCTCGTTCACAAAAAAAACCCAAAACAAAACAAGACAATGTCCATGAATATTTAGTGATTCACACCTGAGAGACAAAGGGCCTCCCATAATGGCCCATCAGTGTGACTGTGACTGAGAGGCAGGTAAGAACGAGTGTGAGGAGACTAAAATCATGGGAGTTTTGATTATTTGTATTTTATTTACAACACCGTATAATCAAAATATACATAATGAAGGTCAAAGACACATTATTGAGCACACTGATCTAAACACAGAGACTTGAACAGTCACACACCTTTATGCTATTCCTGAAACAGATCCTGTTCAACTGTTGAAACAAGTAAACCATACCTGATATTTCCAAGGTGTTTTCTGCTTCTTTCAATGAATTCAAGAAAAAAAAACTAATGCAAGTAATAAAACATGACTTACTCATCAGAAATGATCTCCTCCTCTGGATCAAGCAGCGCGTTGCATCGCGTTCTTCTTTTGAAGTAAATTCTGGCTTATTCCTCACAGCGCGTCTTCTTCCACATGTACTAGAAATCCCTACAAATCTGTAATATTTCTATTAATGAAGTCATGCTGATGCTGTCAGGATCATGGACCTGTTTTGTCGTGTTTTTCCCCCTGTTTCTGTTTTCTCTTATTTGGTCATCTTCCTGTCCTCGTTTAGTTTAATTAGTCATTCAGTGCACCTGTGTTTGCTAATTATCCCTTGCATTTAAATTCTTGTCTGTGCATTTCTCCCCTGTTGGGTCTACAAGTTATGTTCGTGTGTCATTCCTCGTTCCTGTTGTGGATTTTCCCCTGTGTTTGTTCATTAAAAGACTGTTTAACGCTTCTCCGCGTCTCTTGCGTTCCTTCCGGCAGCGAATCGTGACAGAAGACCCAACCAAAACAGTAACCTCCGTGTGTGCCCTCCGTTTTTGTTTCTGTTTTTTCCTCAGTGTTTTTTTTGTTTCCGTTGTGACCATGGATCCCCTCCTTCGTACTGAATTCCTCCTCCTCCTGCTGGAGCAGGGGGAGAGCTCGCTCGAGGGCCACACCAGACTGTTCCTGGTGCTTGCAAACCTCTCCAGCTACCAGGACGACACGCTCTGTGCGTTCTATGACGGCAGTTTAAACTCCGCGTACAGAGCACCGTCGTCCGAGGAAGGCCCTTGAGCGAATTTTGCCGCATTTGTGGAGTGGACACACAAACAAAGACGTTCACCGTCTGTCCCGAGGAGTGCCACCCCGGACCCAGTGCCCAGCCCACCATCTCCCTGCTGCACGGAGCGCATGCCAGAGACCACCGCTGACAGAGAGCCAGAGCCCGCCGTGACCGATGAGCCATTGCCGCACGGAGCGACAGTGCTGAGAATCGCCGTGGAGCCGGAGCTGCTGAGATTGTCAGACCAGGTGCGAGTGCCGGCTATAACGACCGCCACGAGGGAGAAAGCCGCGGATGGTGTGAGCGCGGAGAGGAGCTCCGCCCCCTGCACCGTGGCTGAGGGTGAGCAAAGTATGGCGCGGGGACTGTGCCACACCACACAGAGTTAAGCCCAGAGAGGGCTCCCGTTCCTGAGTTCAGCCCTGAAAGCTCAGAGGCTCCCAAATGCCCGACCTCCCACCCACTCCTGCCTCCTCCTCCGCTGTCGTCTGGCAGCCCCTCTGCTCGCCCTCAGCCCACTATCTATACGGTGCGAGCTCCGCGGGACTGCCATCTGCGGGACTGGTATCCCTTGACTCCCCCTCCAGCCTCTAAGCCCTGGACTCCGCCTCGGCCTGTGGACCCGTAGGCTCCACCAAGGCTCCTAGCTCCCTCCTCTCCGCCGTGGCCCATCAGTCCACATTAGTCATTCAGTGAACCTGTGCTTGCTAATTATCCCTTGCATTTAAGTTCTTGTCTGTGCATTTCTCCCCTGTCGGGTCTACAAGTTATGTTCATGTGTCATTCCTTGTTCCTGTTGTGGGTAAACAGATTATTCAAACTCTTTATTTAATCCTTAATGTCTCACAAAGGCTGTTCCAGTGGACTAGTTTAGTGTCTGTTTTTGGTGCTTTCAAGTCATGTCGGAAAGATCATATTTACATGTTTAACACTCATCAATGTTGCCACAAAGCCTTAATTACTAGTGGGAAACTAATTAGTAGTAATTAGTTGTTGATTTTCTGAGTTGTTGGCGTGTCAGTGAGAAAATATAATGAATGCAATGGATGCAGTGTCTGAATTAATGATACATTTTTTTAAATGAATGTAATTATTACTTTTTAATTGACAATAATACTATGTAAGTTGTACAAAATACCATAGTATTGTGCATTTACGATTTCTAATATATAACAATTAAATTTACAGCACCTTCATTAATTAAATAAAAATATAAAAAGCAAAAATACACCCAATCTGTGTTCTTTATTTATCATTTTGTAGATGTAGAGATAAAAATCTTGGTAGCACTTTAGTTTAGGGACCAATTCTCACTA